ACTGGACACTGTTAAGAAAGAAATGGAATGCATAAATATTGACATAGTAGGTGATCCCATGATCTACTATGCCAGAAGTGAAAAGGTAAGAAAAACAAGGTCACTTTCATAGTTAAAATGGTTATTTCTAGATCATTTGACTTTGTGGATCACAACAAACTGTGGCTGACTTTAAGAAGAACGGGAACAGTGCAACAATGAATGAATGAAAACCCAAAATCTCTGTAAATGTTCATTAAAACCAATAAAATTTAATAATAAAAAAAGAAAAAACAAAAAAGAAGAAGAATGGGAATCCCAGTACACTTGATTGTGTTTATGTGAAACCTAAACTTGATCAGGAGGCAGTTTTCAGAACAGAGCAAGGAAATACTGAATGGTTCAAAATCAGGAAAGTAGTGTGTCAGAGATGCGTCCCTCTCTCCATACCTTTTCAATCTATATTCAGAAAAGATTATCCAGAAGGCTGGGCTCTATAAGGAGGAATGTAGGTAGCATCAGGATTGGAGAAAGTCTCGTCAACAACTTGTGTTATGCAGATGATACAATCTACCTTGCCAAAACTGAGGAGGACCTGAGTCATTTGCTGTATAAAATCAAGGACTGCAGTCTTCAATATGGATTGAAGCTCAATAACAAGAAAACAAAGATTCTCACCACTGGGCCAATTGGTAGTATCATGATAGACAGTGAAGAGATTGAGATTGTTAACAGCTTCAGCTAACTTGGCTCCAGGAAATAAAAAGACAAATTACATTGGGGAAGTCTGCCATCAGGGACCTCTCCAGAGCACTGAAGAACAATGATGTAAGTCTGGAGACTAAGGTGTGCCTGATACAGGCCATGTCTTAGAAATTACTTGCTATGAATCAGAGAGCTGGACAATGACTAAGGATGATAGAAGAAGAATCTATGCCTTTGAGTTGTGATGCTGGAGAAGATTATTAAATATACCATGGACTGCTTAGAGAACAGGTCTGTCCTTAGAGGATGAAACCAGGCTGCTTCTTGGAGGCAAAGATTCTGAAGCTCCATCTGACCTACTTTGGGCATGTTGCTAGGAGGGATGATTCCTTGGAAAGGGACATCATTCTTGGAGAGGTGGGAGGACAGCACAAGAGAGGAAGACTCTGGATGAGATGGATTGACTCAGTAACTGGAGTAATGGGGGTAGGTGTGTCAGAGATAATGAAATTGGTTTAAGACAGAGCAGGTTTTAGAGCTGTTGTACATAGGGACACTATGTGTCACAAGTAACTCGACGGCACATAACAACAATGGCTATGACAAATCCATCTTGAAATATACTGTTGTGAGTGATAAGAAAATATCCATATGCATACAAGAAAGTTGGGTGACCCAGAGGTACGTGGTTCAAATCCTTCAGATGCTCTGCTGGAGAAGGAGGGGCAATCTCCTCCTGTACCAGTCAGATCAGATTTGATGGTACACACACACACAAATAATAAAAAAAAATTTAGAAAAGAAAGTCCAATGAATACCATTATCATTCAAATATATACACCAACAACCAGAGCCAAAGAGGAGGAAATAGATGATTTCTACCAATGTTTGCAGTCAAAAGTTGATCGAACATGCAACCAAGATGCATTAAAAATAATAGGTGACTGGAATGCAAAAGTTGGGAACCCAGAAGAAGGATCAGTAGTCAAAAAACATGGACTGGGTGACAGAAGTGAGGCTAGAGATAGAATGATAGACTTTTACACAATCAATGACCTTTTCATTGCCAATAGAAACATAAACACAGGCTATACACATGGATTTTACCTATGGTATACACAGGAATCATATTGATTACATCTGTGGAAAGAATCATGGGAGAAGCTCAATATCAGCAGAGAAAATTAGGCCAGATACAGATTATGGAACAGACCATCAACTACTCATATGCAAGTTCAAACTAAAGCTAAAGAAGATTAATCAACTCCACAGGAACCAAAATTTGACCTTCAGTCTACCTCACCTGAATTTAAAAACCACTTCAGAAATAGATTTGAGGCCTTGGACACTAATGAACAAAGAGCAGATGAGCTGTGGGAAGATATAAGAATATTATTCATGAAGAATGCAAAAAGGTCATTACAAAGACAGAGGAGAAAGAAAAGACTGAGATGAATGTCAGAAAAGACTCTGAATATTGAAGTAGAACACAGAGAAGCCAAAGCAAAGGGAAGAAAGTAGAAAGTTAAGGAGCTGAACAGAAGATTTCAAAGGGCAGTGTGGGAAGACAAAGCAAAGAATTATAATGAAATGTGTAGAGCTGGAGTGGAGAAATCCAAAGAGCTGAACTTGCTCAGCATTTCTTAAGCTGAAGGAATTAACAAACAAATTCAAGCCTCAAGTTGCAATACTAAAGGATGCTATGGGCAGAATACTGAATGATCCGGGAAGCATTAAAAGAAGATGGAAGGAGAACACAGAGTCACTGTGCCAAAAACAAGTGTCTGACACAAAAGAATCTCAAGTAACAACATATGATCAAGAAGCAATGTTGATGAAGACTTTCAGGCTGCTCTGAAGGAACTGACAGAGTACTAATTCACTAATATCACACACAAGCCAAACCTTGTAGAAGATTATCCAAAACCACCTGGAACAGAACATTGACAGGTAACTACCAGCAATACAATCTGGGTTTAGAAAAGGTCCTGACTCTAGGGACATTATCACTAGTGTCAGATGGATCTTGGTTGGAAGCAAAGAGTACCAAAGGAACGTCTGTGTTTCCTTGACTATACAAAGATATTTTCATAGTCACAAAATATTGTGTCTAACCTTCAGAAGAATGGAAATCCCAAAACACTATATTGTGCTTTTGAGAGACCAGTATTCGGACCAGGAAACAGTCCTCAGAATAAAGCAAGGAAACACTACATAGTTCAGAAACAGAAAGAAGGGCATCAGGGATGTGTCCTGTTTCCTTTTAAATCTATATATGAAACAGATCATTCAGGAGGCTGGGCTTTATGAAGAGGAATGTTGCACCTGGGTTGGAGGAAGACATGTCAACAATCTAGATGACAAAAATCTTACTTGCTGAAACCTGAAGAGCTTGCTGTAAAAAGTTAAGGACTGTAGTCTTCAATATGAATTGAAACTCAACATCAAGAAGATAAAGATTCTCACCACTGGGCCAACTGGCAGCACCATGATAGATGGAGAAGAGAACGAGGTTAACAATTTCTGTTTGCTTAGTTCCACAATTAACACTTCTGGCACCAGCAGTCAGGAAATCAAAAGATGAATTGCACTGGGAACATCTGTTGTCAGGGACCTCTCCAGAGTGCTGAGAAGCAACAATGTCAGTCTAGAGACTAAGGTGAAGCTGATCCAGGCCAAGGTTTTCTCAATTACTTGCTATGCATCAGAGAGATGGACAATGACTAGGGATGACAGAAGAATTGATGCCTTTGAGTTGTGGTGCTGGAGAAGAGTCTTGAAATACCATGGACCACTAAGAGAACAAACAGGCCTGTCTTAAAGTGAAACCAAGTTTCTCCTTGGAGGCTAGAAATTTGAAGCTCCATCTCATGTACTTTGGGCATGCTTGGAAAGGTGGAGGGACAGTGCAAGAGAGGAAGACCCTGAATGGGGTGGATTGACTGGAGTAACTAGGGTAAATGGTATAGGTGTGTAGGAGTCAGTAAGACTGGCTCAGTACAGGGCAAGCTTCCGATCTGTTGTACTTGGGTCGCTATTAGTTGCAGGTGACTAGAGGGCACAGAACAACAAGAAGGCATGAGCTGCTGGATGAAGAAACTCCCTCTTACATACTTCCAGCATTTTGTCTGGATGGGCCAGGCCTTGGAAAATGCCATCATGCTGGGGAAATTTTGGAGGGTCAGAAAAAGAGAGGAAGACGCTCTTAGAGATGGATTGACAGTGACCGTAAACAACGAGCATATCAGGAAGGGTTAGGATGGTGCAGGACAGGGCAAGGTGCAGATGTGTTGTCCCTGTAAGTCCTAATGAACTAGACGGCATCGAAACAAGAACCCCAGTTCCCACTGCTGTCCTAGAGCTGTTGATGATCTATCCGCTGCTTCATTTACTCCCCTTGCCTCTTTAGGAAGGGTAAGGATTCATTTCCTTTTGTTATTATTTTATGCCAGTCGCTAGTTATTTTCTTACGGCGTTCCTCTCTCTGTCCCCGCTCCCACCGTGGCTACCCAGACACCCCCTCCACCGCCCACTGGCTACCCTGTCGCCCTAGTTCTGCCCGCTAATCACGGGAATACTCTAGGCCACTTATCGGACTGGTTAAAGGAACGAAATTAGAACTGCCATCCAAGAGAAGAAATCGCAAGACAACCTGACAGGGATAGGACAGCAAGCGGCTCCTGAACTGCCCAGGCTTGTTCAGGCGGATCTTAAGGCAAAAGTTTCCTTTGTCAAAGCAAGTGACCACGTGGCGTCACAGTGACAGGAACAAAGCAGTAACAACCGTGTTGACTCGCAGGGCCCAGGCCTTCAGGGGAAACTTTAGCACGACCCAAACGGGGGTGCACTGCGGAAAATCCGAGGCGGGAGCCCAGAGGGGCTCGCAGAGAGGAAGAGGAGGTCTAGAGTGGGCGTGGAGTGCAGGACCCCGTGGGGGAGGGCGGACAGGGG